ACATATGGTCAGGAACATAGTGTACAAAGAGATTTTCTAGAAGGTATTATATCATTCTCATTCATCTATATTGATCATACAAACTATGTTGCAAACTACTCATGGGTACCTTATCATTGTAAATATTCATTGCAGCTGCTCTATTCCTGCTTCTCTCCAGTACAACATTGATTGTGCTACAACATACTCTAGCGAAAGGCTGCAATTCAAAATTACCATTTACAGTGAGTATTTTTACCAGCTGAAATAGGATGATATTTCAAACATTATATCTTCCTTTCACAAACAATATATTTCATCTTTGTACTATATTCAATAATTACTACCTCTGTTTTCAAATGAATGACGTTGATTAGTGCAATTTTGAACTAACCGGCGTCAAACAAAAAGAAATGGAGAGATATAAAGTTATAGGATAATTACATTTTCCTTCTATTATAACATTTTTCCCCAGAAAGTAAACATCCATGAACCATTTATTTTTTTAGACAATGGATTAAACAGGCTTAAACATCCAAAATACATGTACACAGCCAATGAGCCATTTAATCACATCATAATTCCGCAATCTTTCGTATTATGCACATACCGTCTTTCCATAGAGCTGTGAACAACAACTCCATTGCTGCCAATTGTCCCCTGGCGAACACCCCAGCAGCTGATGCCAAATCCACTAATCAAGGAAAATAGAGAGGACATAACCAATACAGACGAAGGAAGATAGAGAGGTCGACACACCGCAGCCGCCAACCCACCCACTGAGCTAGGAGATAATTCAAGGAGGATGTTGAGGTGAGGACGGAACATGGGAGGTGGATATGGACATGGCGCTGCAAGCCTGCAACAGCCACTGGAGGGAGGGAGACGGGAAACTACAGGAGACCCACGCCGTCCCCGCCACTCGCTGCTCTCCGCCCGCGGACCACGCCATCCCCGCCTCCTACCATATGAAGTTTTGTGAAGGTCTGGTATGGTAATTATATATAAAATTATCAAATTGAAAGCATTTTTTACTTTGAAGTTACAAGCTTTTTTTACTACAATTAGTTAACTACGAAAGCTCAATTATACAGAGCCATACAGACACCCTTCATGATGGGCCAAAAAATCTCAAATATGCAGTACAAGAGGGATAACTTGAACGTAAAGCAGAGACAAATCGATACAGAGCAAAGACATGGGAACAGAGCAACAGGACATTAGTGCAGTACACATTGACGATGCAGGGATGCACGATGCAATACCTGAGGACAGCGCCCGTTGTACAGCCCAATCGCGAGTGAAGCGGTTGGCGATGCAGTAGCTCGGCGGCGCAACCAGCTCGGCCTCGCACTCCACAACCTTGCGGGAGCGCACGTCAGATCGAGACCTCCGTCCCCGCCACCCGCGTCGCCGTCCCCCCGTCCACAGCGCCTGCAGCTCTCCGCTACCGCTCTCTGCCCGCAACCCACGCCATCCCCGCCGCCCGCCGCCGTCCCCGCCATCTACGCCAGCAACCCACGCCATCCCCGCCGTCTGACGCCGTCCCCGCCGCCTACGCCGCCAACCCACGCCATCCCTGCCGCCTGCGCCGCCGTCCCCCCTGCCCAAAGCTCTCCGCTCGCACCTCCGGCCCGCGCCATCCGCCATCCGCCATCCGCCATCCGCCCTCCTCGTCCGCCCTTCCCCTCAGACCTCATCCTTTCCATTTTCCCCTCTTCTGTCACTCTCTCCTTGCTATCCATACGTATACTCGTATAGCGGAATAGAAAAGAAGAGCAAAAAAAATTAGCTTAGACAGAGTTACAGAGTATTAGTTGCCTACTACTAATTAGTATTTTAGTCAAAGCAAAGTGATGCAAAATTTGTTTGGTTAAGTGCAGTTTTTTTTTCACAAATGCATAATTATTTCATCTACATAGATTAACAAAATTTAACAATCATCTGTTTTTCCTGTACTTGCGAGACGAAACTTTTAAAACTAATTGCGCCATGATCTGACAATGCCGTGCTACAGTAAACATTTGCTAATGACCGATTATTTACGCTTAATAAATTTGTCTCACAGTTTATATGCGGATTATGTAATTTGTTTTGTTAATAATCTATGTGTTAATAATTCAGATAACCACTTTTCTCTATCCTCTATTTTACACATGCTTCTAAAAAATCCTACGCTATCACATGATTTAAAATCTTAGACCTATTATTTTGGACCATTACATTATATCTTTTCAAAATAAAAAACATATATAAAATATAAGAAAAAAAATATGACCATTGTAACTTTAATCGGTAAAACAATTATTTACATCCGATAGACCAATCCTTAAAAATACAAATCCATTCCACCTCCCTCCCGTACATAATCACTCGTCTCTCCACGATATCTGTACGTACATGCAAGATATATATCTTGCATATAACAGAATTTTAAAAAATTACCATCGAGACAATCGTCAAGCTACTAATGCAAAGGTTGTTTGATTATTATTTGTCCAGATGATAATTTGATCTAACTGGGTTAATACATTTTAAATTTTTTACACTCTATCCAAACATCCATTCTATTCCATACTATATTTTAAACATTCATTTCTATCATATTTATATACCATTTTCTTTTCTTTTCTCAAAATCATTTATATACCATTTTCTATTCTTTTCTAAAAATCCTGTGTTACAAAGGAAACCCTAAATTCTTTCTAATAACAACAAAAATTATGATAGTTTAAATAATATGCACGCGCAACTGCGCGAGCTACCTTCCTAGTTATTATTATTATTATATACTAAAAGTCCATTAAACTTCCTATAAACACTCTCAAGCTGACATGTGGCATCCTCAAAACGATCTCAAGCCGCCACATGGCACAACAAGATAAATCGGGACCCACATTTGCAGCCCCGTACGATGCATCGTGTATTCTTGTGTATAGAAAGCGAGGACCCACATGTGCAGCCCAGCACGATGCATCCATCTCACGTAGATTAGTTTGATACTTTCATATAAGATACCAAATCTATCTCTTAGCAAAAGCAAGCCAGATTAGTTACTCCTACAGGACTAGCAAATTATATCTCCTACATACAAGACGCTGTCAGCAAATTATATATCCTACGGAGCTCAAAGATAAAATTTGAATTTATAATTAAAATTCATATTCTTTCATCAATGGACAGATTCAAAATATTCACAATCCTAACGCCACAAAATTTTTGACAATTTATATAAGGTGCCAGTTGTTTTAAAAAGTTGAATAGATCCATTTTTCAAGTTCGCAATAATTAAAATCAAATAATCATGTCCTAATTGTTTTTTTACGCACCCTAATTTTATCTTTACATATTTCTATTATTATATTCTAAAAGCCCATTAAACTTCCTACAAACGCTCTCAAGCCGTCATGTGGCAGCCTAAAAATATTCCTAAGCCGCCACGTGGTATTCTAATAAAATAAAGAAATCTGACCATCAATTTTTCTTTAAATCGGTGGACCGATTATTTTAGAATGTTAGATGTATCTTTAAAAAAACCAAAACCTATAAATGTCCGCACCTCCGTGCAGCACACACGTATTGTACGCTACCTCTGCTCCTTTCTTTTTTTTTCATCCTAATCACAATTAAACTTAAAATTATCTTTATGGAAAAAAGACTCACAAATAGACATCATATGTCCATTAAACATACTATAAACGTTTCTAACCGTTGTGTGGCACTCTTAAATTAGAGAAACATTCAACCATTGGTTTTTACTTAAATCGATTGATACATTATTTTACGTTGTTATTAGATTTATTTTTTTAAAAAAATCCCAAACAATTAGGACATTAAAGTACATAAATGCTTTACTAAGCTGCTACTAATCTCGCTTAAATTACAGAAAATCCTAATAAATCTGAAAAAAAATAAAAACATCCAACCATCGGTTTTGACTTAAACATCAACACATTATTTCAGATCATTAGATAGATCAATTTTTTAAAAAAGACATCCCAACTTTCCCTCCATCCCTATTCATGTGCGGTGTGCGGCATTACTTTTTTCTATTTTTTCTATCTCTATAACAATTAAAATTAAAATTATCTTTATGGGCAAAGAAAAGACCACAATTTTTTTTTGACCTTGAAGAAAAGACCACAATTGAACCTCCACATATTAGGTCTAGCCAGCTATCCCTATGCCCCTTATGATTTGTTTGAATTACCATATTTTTTTATATGAAATCAATAACTTAATATCCATATTGACTATATTTTGCTAACAAAAATTTACATTCTGGACCCACTTCCATATTGAGGCCTCCACTAAATAAAAGAAAATTCTAAAATTTCTCACTAAAAATCAAAATATCCCACCTTAAATTTTCATAAAACTGGTAGACCCAGTACTTATATTCCATTAAACATCTAATGACTTTCCATCGACTTAATTATTTTTCTCTAAGCATGTATATAAGAGCTATTTACCCATACAATTTGATATTGATCTTTTATCAATAAATGATATTTTAAGAGATAAATAAATAATCTTAAGATGATCATAGCATCTAAATTATATATGTGATATATGAAGTCGCATGACCAATTGAATATCATATTGATCGTACTAAGCACATTGGCTACACCAAGGAATCCTAACAGTGAAATAACCATGTTGTGGCCTTAGCAATATATAAGTTAATTCCATATAGGAATTAAAAAATGTCCATTTAAACTTGCTACGGTACATCATGAATTCCTAACATTTAGCATAGAACAATCTAGAAATGTGTATTTGTTACATGACACTTCAGTTAAGTGGTAATTTGCTAAAAAAAACTATGACCTCTATTTTAAATTTTCTTACTTAATTGGAAAGAGATAACTTAGAATGGATACCTTTACCCCATGTCGTGCTATGGGATCAACCCACATATTTTCATCCCGAATTACAGTGATCAAAGCATTTCAAGGATGCTTCATAGAGTGGAATTCTCCCAAAAAAGAGATGAAAGGAAATGTAAATTGAACAAAAAATTATTAATTCTAAATAGAAACATTCAAACATTTTAGTAAGACTAATAAAATGAGTATATCTAAAAGAATTAAACATTCGTAATAAAAACTAAATCAGCATTAAATAAGGTGCTCGCGCATGTGCGCGGGCGACCTTCCTAGTTTTCTAACTAATTGGCCTATCACGTTTGAGAGCTCAGAGTCACATGATGCAGCAAGCGTTGGGATTTTCATCGCTGAACATATGCCGGAGCCTGACGTCAGCGCTGTCGTCGGAGTAGTACGACGGCGAGTAGTGGCGGCCGCCGGCGCAGTGACAGTGGCCATGGGTGCAGTGGCAATAATGCAAGTGGTATCCGTAACACGGCGGCGGCGGCGGCGGCGACAGATGGTAGTGCATGTATGCCGCCGTGGCCGCCGGCACACCGATGGTGGTGGTGGTGGTGGTGACCTCGCCGGCGTCCGTCTCAGCCTTGCCGTCTTGCTCGCCGCCGAAGCAGATAAGCTCGCCATTCTTCTCAGCCGCGCCGCCGGCCGCCATCTTGTCCTCGCCGTCATCCTGATCATGATCGTGACTGCACTTCACCGGCGGGGGCGGCGCGACGACCTCGACGGTGTTCCGTTCACCGGCGGCGGCGGCGGCGTTGAGCTTGTGATCAATGGTGGAGACGAGGGCGAGGCTGGAGAGGCTGAGGTCGAGGAGACACCGGTCGATCTCGGAGTTCACCTTGTCGAACTGCTCGGCTTGCCACCCGCCGGCGACGAGGCTGTAGATGCGGCTGGTGGACTGGCAGGAGGTGACGAGCAGCAGCGCGCGGCGGAGCGCCCTCTCCAGCCTGCCCACCAGCCTCCTCGTGGCCACCGCCGCCGTCGACGGCGAGGAGGTGTCTACCCCCTTGAGGAGGTCGCCGATGTCGGCCACGCGCTCGGCGAGCTTCTCGCAGCTCTTCTTGCTCCGGCTCGCCGCCTTGACCGCGCCGTCGATGTCGTTCGCCAGCTTGACGATGGTGGTCACGCCGCTCACCAGGCTAAGGGTCTCCATTGATCAAAACAAACTTAATTTCTATCTTGATTTGTTGATCCTAATCAAATTCTCGAGACTTGATTTCAAACAGGTTAAATTGCCGGAACAACTATTTACACATGAACAGAAACATTTGTCATATATGTGTATATATATGTATGTAGCGATACGCGATTGTTGAGGCAAGGAAAGCGTTATGTTGTTTCTTGGTAATTTGCTAGAACCAGTGATTATAGTATCTTGCAAGAAATAGTTAGTATCTCTTATTTCTGATGATCACTCTGGATAATTCGGAATTAAGGCATCCTGGAGAAGTGTGTTGAAATATTTTACGCGTGAAACTTCATTTTCTTTTTTTCTTTTTTTTTGCGGGGAGCGTATAAACTTCATTATTTTATTAGAACTAGCATGGTGGCCCGCGCAGATTGCGCGGCTAGCATCATTATATTTTCTCTCATATAATAGTATATATGTTTTCTCATTATATTATTCAAATATATAAAAATGACAACATAATTTTAAATTTTGCAATAACTTTATGAAACTACTGATGTGTAATATTCATATTGTATTTTATATATGTTTTAGTTATTAATTATTTTTAATATCAAAATTTAGTTATTTGTAAATTATATATATTCCTACATGGACTCTAGTAATTCTGAATTTTTATTATTTCTAATTGTATTTCTATGTGGACTCTAAACTCATCTTTCATTATTTTTAATTTTTAATTTTGAATTTCAGTTACTTCTAAATTGTATTCCTATATTGACTTTAAACTCTTCTTCCCATGTTTTTTCCTAATTTTGAATTTTAGTTAATTGTAAATTGTATTTTTATACGGACTCTAAACTCTACTTTTAATTTTGTTATGTTTATTCTGAATTTTAGTTAGTTTTAAATTCCTATATGGACTCTATACTCTATTTCTAATATTCCTTATTTTTTAATTCCGAATTTCTATTTTTTTTCTTAATTGTATTTCTATATGGACTCTATACTCTACTTATAATATTCCTTATTTTTTTAATTCCGAATTTCTATTTTTTTCTTAATTGTATTTCTATATGGACTCTATACACTACTTCTAATATTCCTTATTTTTAATTCCGAATTTATATTATTTCCTAATTGTATTTCTATATGGTATCTATACTCTACTTCTAATATTCCTTATTTTTAATTCCCAAATTTCAGTTTTTTCCTAATTGTATTTCTATATGGACTCTAGTCTCCTATTCTAATATTCCTTATTTTTTAATTCCGAATTTCATCTATTTCTAAATTGTATTTCTATATAGACTCTAGTCTCCTCTTCTAATATTCCTTATTTTTTAATTCCGAATTTCAGCTATTTCTAAATTGTATTTCTATATGGACTCTGTTTTTTCTTTTTCTCCGATTAATGTGAGAATTTCTAGGCCATGAGAGTGAATATAGAGGCTCCTTTTTCTATTCCTTTAATAATATAAATAGCATGGTGGCCCACGCATATGGGCATGCAGAATATGATTATGGTTGGTTCTCTCATACGGATTCCAAAGAATCATTATCTGTTTACACACTATCATTATAATATCCTTTGTTTTTTTTCTATTTGTTCTGTCCGTTTTAACTTTTAATTTTTCTTGTCCGTTTGCATGACCTAATCCTAATACACTTGGTGTTTTGTTTTTTTCTCTTATTTTCTTTCGATTAATGTGAGAATTCTAATCCTAATACACTTGGTGTTTTGTTTTTTTCTCTTATTTTCTTTCGATTAATGTGAGAATTTCTAAGCCGTGAGAGCGAATATGGAGGCTCCTTTTTCTATTACTTTAATTATATAATAGATTGTTCGGTCATATAGAAAATACATCGTGAATCTAATGAACTGGTATAATAGTACATGTATAGCGGTGACACAAATAGGTTGACTAGCTCCAAGACGACACTATGATGGCATCGTCCACGCACGACGTGGTAGCAAAATAAAAGAAATGGAAAACGCGCGTATAGAAACTGATTAACTATTAAGCAAAAGAAATGGTCGTAAACAGAAGGAAAATGGCTGACCTGATTAAGCAGATGCTAAAACGCGCGTATATATACTCTGATCGCATATACGATTATACGTGTACGCCCCCTGTGTCCTTGTGAAAAACCTGTCCTGGAAATCGATATAATTAAATTTCCTGAATTATGAAATTGACTGGATCGAGTATTAGAGTAAGCCGCTGTGCATTTTGTACGTAATTTCCTGATGCACCTAGCTCCTAAGCTAGCGCGTAACATAAGACGCGTACGTGCTTGCTACCCCGGCCGCGCCGCGGCGCGCGCCGGCCTGGCATTTCCGCAAACACGTCGAGCGCGCGCGTACGCACACGCCATCTGGTGACTGGTGGTCGATGTGGCACGCAGCAAGAGGTCGCCATCATCGTTGCGTCGCTTAGGGCGCGCGCGGCCCAGCGCAACACACGAGATGATCAGATCAGATGAGACCCGTTTCTGCACAATTCGATCGAGTTCGACGAGCTCGCGCGCCATGCTCGCCGGAGCATGTCGTGGAGCTCAGCGAGCGACGGTCTTAATTTTTGGGGGGGGGGGGGGGGGGGGCTAGTTTGTGTCCGGTACAGACATTGATACCGACGACCCCTACTAGACCAAAATCCGGATCGTCGCCATTGGCTTGGCTTGGGCAACAACGATTTATGAAATGAAAGGTGTGATGCGAGATGGGAGTGGATTCTAAACTGTATTATGAAAAAAGTTTGAAAAACTTCAACAAGTTAGATCAAATTTGTGATTCTTGTTGATCCAACATCCGTAATTTGTGATGTGTCCGATGGACAGTGGAATCACAAATTTGGTCAATCTTGTTGATCTAACTTCAACAAGACTGATTCCAGTGTCCACCGGATACCATACTTAGGCTCCGTTCGCTACCTCCCTCCCTCGTTTTTCACGCGCACGCTTTTCAAACTGCTAAACGGTGTGTTTTTTATAAAAAAATTTTATATAAAAGTTGTTTAAAAAACTCATATTAATCCAAAAAATTAGCAAATACTTAATTAATCATACAATAATAGATGTTTTATTTTGCGTGCCGGGAGGAGGGGTTCCAACCCCTCCCGAACACAGCCTTACTGGTATGTATTTGTTTATATGTTTCCAAGAGAAATTATTCGAATTTGATTCCCTTTCTTGTACTATCAGACAATTATCAGTCCGATACTATCAGTTTTTGAAAAAAACACCCGCAGCTGTATGTGAAAACGGTCGGAATCGGTAGCATCTTTTCGAAAACAACGTTCGATTGATCGGTAATTGACCATATTTATCGTTTAAACTACTCAATATAGTAGACAAAATAAAATTTATAAATAGCTAAAAACGGTACAATCGAAAACGATACCCCTTATATAAAAACGGCGATCAGTCGATCGAAAATTTCGGTGACCATTACGAAATCACGGTGGACGTCCGCATGTAGACTCCGTAACAACGTAACAACGTCCACCTCTGAACACTCCAGAAAAGAGTGTCCTTCCTATTTCTCTAATTTTAAACCCATATTTACCACATAATTATTTTTATTACTATTATTTTTAAAAAAAAATTGGTTAGAAATATAGTGACTAAATGCATAGGTTAGTCTTATAAAGTACATCAATAATTTAATATTTCTATATATATTGTAATAAAATATAATGATAAAATTTATCTTTTCTAGATCGTGCATTTATCTAAAATGATAAGTTTAAACGATATTATCAACCGTGAGTACTAGATGCGATAAGTCGTATTAGTACAAATCTGCATAATTATTATGTTGCCATATTTTGGAGCCGGAAGAAATACTGAAATCTTCAGTTTAGATATTTTTCGTCAGATCGGAAACATCACTCTCGGGCCGTGGGCCATCCCCATGGGGTGGGACCCAAAAGCTTCATCCTTATCCGTTAACGATGAGTCATCATTGAAGATGTGCTTTCGGTCTGCTCACCGTCGGTGCAGCTAACCACATTGACAGTGATTAACAAACTTCCAAAGGACAGTGGCCACTCCACACTTCCACAGTAGTAGCCCCATCATTAGTCTCTTTCTATGGGTAATAAGAGCAGGTATAATAGCAGGCTATTAGCCAACTATAACCATATTTTGATGAGATAAACGATGAGAGAGAAGAGTAGCGGGCTACAGATTTGTAGCCAGCTGCAGCACGAACTTCAAGACACACTGTGTATATGATAGGTGGGACCATATATTAATAGTATAGCAAGCAACTATTATATGAATTGGCTATAAATGAATTGGAGCTAGTAGTGGACTGTACTACTAGACTTGCTCTAAGCCAACACACTGGTATATACAGCATTCTGAAAGCAGTGTTATCTATTTCCCCCATCTAAATTGGAAATCAATATATACACCTAAATGTATAAAAAAATTACATCATCTATCCTAAAACATAATAATTTTTAACATTTAGAATTTATCTTAAAATATAACAATTTCTCCACCAAATTTTTTTTCCAGCCAATCATAATTATCATCATCCACCATTCAATTTGCCCATCTATCTAGTTACATTCACTTCTAGCTCAACCACAACCATTTTACATTTAACATTTAGTTCTATTTACTTTTTAATAACTATATTCAACCGTAAAATATTTTATATTTATATTTTAGGACGAAGATAATACATAATAGCATCTTTATAGTTATCGTGTGATCATAATTAGTACATGAAGAGAAGATTACAAATATGGTTATACTTGAAACGTGAAAGGTTATTTTTTTTAAAAAAAAGATAAATTTAGCCTCCACATCCAATCCGATGCATACGGCCAAAATCGTGTGGAAGGTACTGGGTGTGATTGTTGCGGTAAGACGACCAGCCGGTGCGGTGACGCCTGGTCATATCCACTCAATGATTTAAGGAGGGGCACACACACTCAGCTCAATTACTTGGGAGGCAGTGAGTTGTTGTAAAGTTGCAAGAGAGAGATCAGTTGTTGAGTGCGTGGAAGCAGAGATCAGGAAGATGCTGGAGAAGCTGTGGGACGACGTGGTGGCCGGGCCTCGACCGGAGACCGGCCTGGAGAAGCTCCGCAAGGCCGCTACAACCCGCCCCCTTGTCATCAACAAAGGTAGCTTACGTCGTTGTACAGATGCTTACTACTCCTAACTAACAAGCTAATATAATTTCGTTCCAAATTATGAGACGTTTTGGTCGTTTCGTCGTTCATTTAGATTGATTAACATCAATATAAATTTGGACTATATATAAGATATTCAAAATAAAGAACGGTCTCATAACATGAAACAGAGAAAATATATTACCTTTATTAAGCAAACAAGCAGGGACGGCAACAAATTTAAAAGAGCGTCGTAACCAGAAATATTGCTTATATATATTAACGAGTGTTAAGATCTGGACTCTGGCCGGCCGGAGTGTTCCATTTGTACCTTCGAAATCATGCTCTTTTTCTTTTAAATTACCATGTATAAATTCGTAGAAATCTTAGACTGTCTCTTAACAATTTCTGACTCCGATCCATCACTAAACCTCTGAATATTTAGATGGCGACGGCGAGGCGAGCGGGGCGGCGTACAAGCGGACGCAGTCGATGCCGACGACCCCGACGACGCCGGTGACGCCGTCGTCTTCGTCTCCGACGACGACGGCGACGACGACGCCGCGGGGCAGCAACGTGTGGAGGAGCGTGTTCCACCCGGGGAGCAACCTCGCCACCAAGAGCCTCGGCGCCAACCTCTTCGACCGCCCGCAGCCCAACTCCCCCACCGTCTACGACTGGTATCCATCGCTTTGCTTATAATTTGCTCATCCACAGCTGCACAGGGTTAAACCTTTCGGTTTAGCCGGTTTGATCGGATCTCACCGAAATTTTTGAACAAATATTATCAAAATTCACGAAAAAAATTAAAAATTTTGAAAAATTTCGACCGAACTAATACTCCATATATTCCACAGCTGCATCGATCTATATCTCCATATATATGATTGGTAAATTGAACTGAATCATCATATTGACCTGTTCATCTTCTCATCATCTAGGCTGTACAGCGACGAGACCAGGAGCAGCCATCGCTGAACTAAATAATCCCATTGATCGGAGGCTGGTCGATCTCTCTGTCACGCCACGTTTGCTGGTCCTTGTGGTTATCTAATACGTAATTAATTATCTAGTATGTTGCTATCTTATCTTGTTACTCTGTTCCTAGTAGCTTGCTGTCTCTGTTAGTACTACCAGAGACCGGTACGTGTCAGCTAGCCTGCTGGCTCCTATCAAGGGCTAGCGACAACCCAAAGAAGTGTGTTTGTGTGTAAACATCTTCCATGTGTAAATACTGCCATGTGTTTCCCTACTTTCAGCGTTTAATTACCTTTGATGTGATAATACCAATACCAGCTTGAGATATTTCTTCTTGGTTGCAATATTTTGCAATTCTTCTAAGATACTTATTCGTCCTCAAATATAAGATAATCCATGTTATATTTTTGGAACGGAGGGAATTCATATTTATGCTGACAATAAGAGAAATGAGAAATTATCTTTAAAAAAATAAGAGAAATGAGAAGTGAAGTGATAAGTCAGAGTGACAGGTGCCATAACCCCCTTGAACATTCAACGTCCGTGATCGTGACCTCTTCCTTTTCTACGCAGTGGTGAGGGACTGAGGGGTGACCGTGACTAGGGAACTACTCCCACGGTCTAAAAACAAATATCACAGCACGATGTTGTTGCTGCTCTGGTGTTGCTCGATGAATTTTCTATTTTTATATTGATTTTTAAAAAGATTTATGAATATAAATTACCGTTTTTTAAAAAAATATACTCCCGCTGTACCCTAGGATTGGGTATATAAATTGTCCTACGGTAGGGTAGGTTATGTGACCTATGATGAGGAATGTAAATCGTCCTACGGTAGGACAGGCCATGTGATATACTAGCAATTTTGCATGCGGTCCTTTCTCATTCTCCTATAGTGCAATTTAGTTGGTGATGTATGGGACGCGCCATGATAATTTTGAAGGTGGCTCCCTTCCGATGATAAATCCTCCTACAAGAAGGTGAGAAGGGGCTACCTGTTCCACGGCACGCTTCCCCCGTGAGGTGCCACGACATATAAATTGTCCTACTGTAGGATGATTTATATTTATGTAAAACTTTGAAATGGGAATTTATTTTTGGAACCTTTTAAAAAATAAATATAAAAACAAAAAAATCGTTTCCTGCTGCTGATTGCTTTGCTGCTGCTGCTGCCGGCGAAATGGGCCAAGGCAAAAGGCCGGTTGCTGCATGCACGCATGATCCACCTGCTAGCTAGCTCTTCCAACCAAAGCAGCCCAAGCCCACTGGCTCAACATGGCCCAACTCTCTTCTTTCCTTTTTCATAAATTGTTTCGCATTATTTCGGGGCTACTGTACACAACTGTTTTTTTTTTTTGTGGGAAAAAACAGGATTATATTACTCAGCTAACATCTCCTCTGTAGCAAGGAGATCAATAAAGTTACAACTATTATCCGGCCAGAACTCCGTGACAGAGTCACATCGGCCCCTGTTAGCTAGAATATGACTAATCCTGTTCTGATTTCATTGAATCTTCTTGACGACAACCTCCCTATTCCCAGACATCAGTTCCTTGATGTCACTGACGATAAAAGCAACTTCCGATCTCTCACTATTGGAGGAGCAAAGCAAGTTCTTTGCTTCTAGGCAATCTGTTTCCAGCATGATTGGTAAGAAGGTCCATTGAAGGGCCATGTTGAGGCCCTCTTTACATGCCAGTAGTTCTGCCTACAGAGGGCCATTGCATCGCCCAAGGTACCCACAGGCAGAGAAGATTACCTCTCCCAGACTATTCCTTAGTATCGCGCCAATGCCCCCTTTCCCAGTGTTAGGAACAAAGGACCCATCCACATTGAGTTTCATCCATCCCTGAGGTGGCTTATCCCAGCGACAGGGAGCTGATATTGGTCCTTTTAGGAGGTTTATTTTCTGCTGCTGTCCATACTGAATTACATGCTTCCCTTTCGATAAATCCGCTCGGGGATGTTGCTTAACCTCCAGTAATGACGAGAGATAGCTTTCAAGGAATCTTTTGGAAGCTTCAATGGGGGGTGGACGTTTACCATGTGTAATCTCATTACGAACATGCCAGGTACGCCAAAGTACCATCAGGAACTTCGGTTGCTCCTCCCCTGGTACTAACTGTAGCTGATCCAAAATCCAGCTTGCACCTGTATAACTTCCGACAATATCCTTCGCTTTCTTCCCTGCAACTTCCATAACATCCCATAGTCTCTTAGCTTGGGGGCAGCGACACAGGGCATGCGCAACATCTTCTTTCTCTACCCCACAGATACAACAGACATCAGACACCGCAAGATTTCTTTTCCTTTTATTCTCCAGGGTTGCTAAGCAATTGGTGGCAGCTCTTCATGCAAAAATTTTAACTTTTTGCGGTATATTGCATTTCCAAATCAGATTCCAGGCCTTACTGGTCTCAATCTCAGACGAGCTAGAACTGCTATCCACATTTGCAAGCGAAAGGCCCAGCTTGTAAGCCGATCTTACCGAGAAGATGCCCAGTCTATCCGGATGCCAAGCTAGGAAATCCTCTGCTTCCCTCGTCGGTAGCTGAATTTTCAGAATCATCTCAGCATCAATAGGCCAGAAAATTTGGTTTACCATTTGTTCGTTCCATCTGCCATCCATACCAATTAGCTCTGAGACCCACTTAACTCTACAGGTACCTTTCGGCGTTATGGGCCTCCGAGAATGGCATCTAGGCATCCAGGGATCACGCCAAATTCTGATCTGTTGACCATTGCCAACCCTCCAAATAACCCCTTTCTTCAGTAGCTCAAGGCCATACTCTATTGCCCTCCATCCGGGTGAAGCATTTAGTATCAACTAGCGAGCCAGATGGGAAATATTTAGCCCGCAGCACTCGAGCACACAGACTCTCCGGTCTATCTATAATTCTCCAAGCTTGTCTAGCCAAAAGTGCTTGGTTAAATAACCTAAAATCTCTGTACACAACTGTTTCAACGGCTTAACACGTCACCATCAGAGTTTATAATCACAAAGTATGACCGTACGGAAGCAAAGCGTGGCGAAGCGGTTTATTTTTTCTTTACCGCTTATCATAATTTTAGTTACTTTTTTTCCTTCTAAACTTTATAGTAGAAAATAGAAAATAAGCTAGTAAGCAGGTTGCTATGCGGGTTGTAGGATTGCGTATTTGCATCCTACGAGTACTTTACCATAGCAAACATTTCTGTCTCGGGGATTAAAAACACGTTATGGTAGACAATTGTTTTAACGAGTTAATGCATCCAAGCTAATTCCCATAGGGTACCACCACTTATACCGGTGAAATAATAAGAAGTCTGAATAAATTAGATCCTCTTATATGACAAAAAGTTCTAGTAAGTGCTTCACGGGACCTATCATGGTCCTATTGTCAACAGTGGAGGCTTGAGTCCCCGTCACCTCATGCTAGATTCGCCCCTGCTAGCCGCTTAGGCTGGCTAACCACACTGCACAGGCTGACGGCCCATCTCTTGTCCAGCCGGCCCTGACCATTTGTTCAAACCGACTATCCAATCCACGTCAAGAGTTAAGCCAAGCCGTCTAAAGTCACAACCGTATTAATGGATGGCAGGATGGCCGGCAGAACAAAGGGGTGGCCAATTAACCTAAGAAGGGGCCAATTGGCCCCATGTGTTAGGCCGGCCAACCTCCAATTGCTGGCCCCACATGTATACTACTTGTGCATATATAGTCATACTTCGCACGTATTGTACGTGTCTTTGCATACACCACAGTCGCAAAACTTATATTCACCGTTCATGACCTTGTCGTCCTCGGCCATGCACATTCACGGCGTCACACCATGCTCACCGGCTTTTCCCTGGCGCGGCATATCCACGATCCCCATGTGCATAGGCTGCGTTGTTCGTAGTGCTACCTCCTCCGATCTCTTCAACCGCCTTCATTATGCTTGGTCCTATATTCTGGTCATGTTCCGCCCTTACCTGTTTGATGTCATCATTATCGATCTCATCGCCACGGCTGACTATCTCTCTCGGAGATGCTCATTAGAACTATTGGCCTTATCGTATCCTAATAAAAAAGGGAAATATGTATAGATATTCCCATAACTGCACATGCAACTCGCGGTAAAGCGACTACACTGAGAGTTCTTTTGCACACACATACGTATCAATACATATCAGCCAGGGTTTGCACTACTGTCCGTCGATCAGATTATTTCTTGCGTGAAACCATGGAGATGGAGACAACAACAAACCCGGCGAAGGCGACGGCGGCGGAGACGACGACATTCACGGTGGTCGTCCACAGCAGCCGGTCCACGCGACACGCCGTGTCTGCGTGGGCAATGGCGGGGTAGAGCGAGAGGTAGAAGTCGATCCTGCTCAGGACGCTGGCGAGCCTCTCGGCGTCCCGCCGGGCGCCGACCACCCGCCGCGCCCAGCAGACGAGGCGCCGCCGCACCGTCTTCTTGCCGCCGCCGCCGCCGCTCTGGCTGAACGCGACGGCGAGCTCGTGCGCCTCCCGGAGCACGCCGTCGAGCCCGTCCGCCGCCTCCCTCGCCCCCGGCGGCAGCCGCGCCGCCATCGTCGTCTCCGTCGTGCTCGGCTGCAGCTCATGGCGGCGGTGGCGGCTCAGCACGGCGGAGACCATCCTGACGCGCTCCTCCAGCTCCCGGCACTGCTTCTTGTTCCGCTTCGCCGTCTGCACGGTGGCCATGATCATCTTGATCAGTCCCCTCGCGCTGGAGGCGTACCCTACTAGTTCAGCCATGGATCCCAGCTTTGTTTGTACATGAAATGGTGTGTCTAGACTCTAGATCGCCATGTAGGTGGTGATCATCTTTGGAACTGTATAATGAAGAAGATGATCCTAGTTAGCTAGTTCTCCTATCACCACTCATTTTGGTTTCCAAAGGTTGTTTGCTTTCTGCTCTGGCTGTTTATTATACTGGTTCACCTCTTCTTATGATCTTTACATGAACCCTCTAGATCTCTCTGTCTCATTCCTTGGTGAACTCTAATTGGATACTCCCTCCGTTTTTTAATAGATGACGCTGTTGACTTTTTCTCACATGTTTAACCATTCGTCTTATTCAAAAATTTTATGTAAATGTATAAGATATAAATCACACTTAAAAGTACTATGAGTGATAAAACGACTCATAACAAAATAAATTATAATTGCGTAAATTTTTTGATTAAGACGAATGGTCAAACATGTGAGAAAAAAATCAACAGCGTCATCTATTAAAAAACGGAGGTAGTATATGGGAGTGGTTGGCCTGCTGCTTTCACTATGATTGCCTGCTTTACAAAAAAGTTGAGGTGTGCCAAATCTCAAATGTGGCTGATGTGTGCCCATTTCTTGTCTCAGAGTGATAGACGGTTGAGCAATTTCCAGATGCCAGAAACCCCGCAGATGTGCCTTTCCGGCCATCCCTGAATATGAGAGGGGAAGCTGTATGTTGGGTCCTCTGGACTACTAGGAATAATATGATCTTTAGATCTAAATTGGTTTACTCACCACTAATGCTCCCTTTTCAAATTGTTTCTCACCTTTTGCAGCGGAAGATATTAGGACACGCTGAGGAGGTAGGACTGTTGGATCATGTTAGCAGAGCAGCTGAAGTCTAGGACAAGAAGCTCGAGGACACATAGAGCTGGGATTAGCTGATAGTTGTCAGCTGGTAGTTTTAAGAGTTTCTGAGAGTTTTTAAGAGTTTAAGAGTTTAGTTTAGTTTTTGAGAGTTTTTTTAATAAGACGAATGGTGTTAAATATATTTTAAAAAATCAACAGCGTCAAATATTTAGAAACGAAGGGAGTGTTAAGATCTGGACTCTGGCCGGCTGGAGTGTTCCATTTGTAAATAATGTTTTTTTAAAAAATTAAATTACTATGTAAATTTCGTACAAATTTAACACCTCATTAGTTAATCTTTACCTTAGACTGTTTTTTTAGCAATTTCTGAATCCCATCACTGAACCTGGATATTTAGATGGTGACGGCGAGGCGAGCGGGACGCAGTCGTTGCCGACGACCCCGACGACTAGTACGTACTCGTTTTGCTCATCCACAGCTGCATCGATCGATCAATCGATCATATACTCCCTCCGTTTCGAAATGTTTGACGCCGTTGACTTTTTAGCACATGTTTGACTATTCGTCTTATTTAAAAATTTTTAGTAATTATTAATTCTTTTCCTATCATTTGATTTATTGTTAAATATATTTTTATGTAGGCATATAATTTTATATATTTCACAAAAGTTTTTGAATAAGACGAATGGTCAAACATGTGCTAAAAAGTCAACGGTGTCAAACATTTCGAAACGAAGGGAGTATATGATTGGTAAATAAGACTCCTCTTAATAGTGAATAATGCAGAACTATGCAGGCCCTCTGGTTGGGTGTATGTCATCGACAGACTTGAAATCGCAAACATGCACTCAGTTACGCTGGCATCCTGGCACAAATTGATGCTGCACTTGAACATTCTTGGGCACACATGCAAATATCAATACACCAAGTAGGTAGAGCAAGTATTTGAAGTTTTTTTTTTTTTGATCTCAAGTATTTGAAGTTTTGATCATTCTCAAAGTTAGTTTCAACTTTCAAGTAATAAGGAAACATGACTGAATCAAGTAAAAGGAAATATGACTGAATCTCATTGCAAATACCATCCAAAGGTCAAAAAATAAACTTGAAAACCTGCACACGAGTCAGAGGTCATAAGACCGTTCTTAAGAATTGCAGGTAACCAGACTTCATGTTTACAAGTGCTAACAAAATGAGATGCCAGGTAACATTGCACAGACATATGTTTGAGGTCCATATGTACAGCGAATCATGCTTTCAAACTTGAAATTGTTCCAAATCCCTCTGAAGTCAATAATAAGAGTTTTTTTTTTAGATAATAAGAGGAGTTCTGAAATACAGGAAGCACGCAAAAGCCTGGCTTAACTTCGTATTAAGACAGAGAAACAGCAAGGGACCTAGCAAAACAGACAACCACAAGAGAACCAAGTTGTGTCTTGTGTCAGCACTCAACAAGAACAAGGAAGGGAGAGACAGGAGACCCGAAAAAAGAATAAACTGAAGGGCGGTCCTAAAACACGGAACTGAAGAACACTTTAAACATAAAGCGTAAACTGATGAACCAGAAAAGAGCATGCCCAACCCCTTCACATCTGCTTGCTGCCAACTACTGATTGCGTAGACTATTTGGAGGTCAGACACCACAGGTTTCTATCAGGAATGAAACTTACAGTTATAGCCTTATAGGAGTGGAAAATCATATACATAAGCGGTTCTAAGACCTGGCATATGTCATATTTTTAGGAGTACAAATCAAAAACATGATCAACTATAATTTATGATATTGTCCATTGGACGTGTGTTATTCCTGGCCTTATTTCTCACTATCACTGAAATAACTGTGACAACTCCGCAGGATTTGCAGCATTGTATAAATCACAAAACAAACAGGGTTAAGAATTCAGCTACTGCCTACCCTACAAAAGTTACAATCATGCAAATTCCAGATTCTGCACAGGGACATAGTCAAATATAACCAATTAACATTATGGTACTAGCATATTCCTTGATATATTATGTGATTTACTCACTATTACTGCAGTATCAAAGGAAAATAAACGCAAAAGAAGCTTCATAATATCTCAACAAGTTGCATAGCACATAAAGCAATGCTGGGAACAAAATTATTTTGCTCCTGTGGTCAAAATCCTAAGGAAAAGTATTCACTATATCGACCAAAACAACAATTGACTGGTCGAATAAGATGCAAGTACTGATCACCGTATGAATATATTGTTTACATAAATGACCTAGTAAGCAAGCTAATGATCAAGCATTACCATTCTTTTTTTCTCTTGTGAGCAACTGAGCAATAGGACTTCAACATTGATCTAGGATGAACCCTTCTCAGGCTTGCATCAGCACAAGCTGGGGAAGATCCAAACTGATGGTCTGATGAGTGAACTGTTTGTTCAGGGGTGGTGAGCCTGGATAGTCAGCATTGCAGACATCACAGATTCCATCAGCCAAGGAATACTCATGCCACTCACCCAAGCGTGGCCCAGCCCCCTCGAACCCCTGGATGATCATCAACGCAAGCTGCAAATCCATCCAAGCCAAGAAATAGCGACCGCCCGCCCAAGTTGGTGATCATCTCCCACTTCCTTTTGTCAGACACCCAACGGAACACGCGGTACACAACCCTCTCCTCATGCTCCACGCTGATGAGCAACACCTCACCTCCACACTCCCGGAGCATGAACCGATGATCCCCCTCCGGCCTGTTCGCGTCATCATGCTCTCCCCCCCAGAAATGACAGCTCCAGTGAACTCTCCGACAGCTCGAGCGTGGCAAGACGGAGGCCAACCAGCGCGTAGAGGGTGCCGTTGACAGAGATCAAATCGTCGAACACTTGGGGTGCAGGGGCGGAGGCCACGCGCCAGAGCGCGTCCCCGGGGTGGCAGTGCTGGACGGTGGCCCGGCCGGCCAAGAAGATGACGACGAGGAGGTCCGCCGTGAGGATGACGCGGGAGAAGGGTGCGAAGACCTTGGGGAGGCGGAGCTGCTCGCAGGTGAAGAGGAGCCTTGGCGGGTAGTTGTTGGCGGCGGTGGTGAGGAAGCCGTGGGCGTAGAGGAGGGTGTAGCGTGAGGGGGGCAGGTGGTGCCCCCATGGGAGGGAGGCGGAAGCGGTGGAGGCGGCGGAGGCGCGGGTGGAAGAGCGCCTCGGAGAAGGAGGGGTAGAGGGAGACGAGGAGGAGCGGGGACTGCGAGGCGAGGAGGCGGCGCAACGCCGGGAGGAGCGCGCGGTAGGAGGCGCGCAGGGAGAAGAAATCCTCCAGGGACGTCAAGCGGCGGGCTATGTCAGGGATGAGATCTAGCGACGGTAACGACGAGTCGGCGGCGGCCGCCGGAGTAGGGGAGGAGGAATCACCGCCGGCGCTTCGCCTCTGTGGTGGCCATTTCCCAAAAATGAATTTCCGCCTCTTTTTTCCCTTTTATTTCTTCTTGCCAATTACTCCTGTCCGGCTGTCAATTGTCATTGGTAGAAGCCTTGAGGGCTGAGGCCCGTGGGCCGAATGAATATGGTTTTTATTAATCATTTTTATTGCGAGCATTTCTCTTGCTCACATTAGCAACTTACGGCGTGGAATACCCATATTTACAAACGAAAAATAATTTATAAATAGAATTTTTATATACGTGGCTGGAAATAAACTTCAATGAAAAAAACCCTCAAAATCAACTCTAAATTTAAAGTTGAAAAATTCAAATTCTAGCTGATGGCATAAACATAAGCGAAAATATGAGGAAAGATGAGGCCATTAGCATTGAAAATTTACAATTACGAGTAGAATTTCGTGAAAGAAGAACTAGTATAGTATAGACCACTAGTACAAATACGTTCAGAATCCTGCCTGATGCACGAATCACAATGTAACATTTTTGCCGGCAGCCCAGCACTGAAAGTGTATTGCTATCTCGTGATTCTTCCAGAGCTGTACAGAAATGAACCAATGGAAAAAAGGATACAGGTGACAACAATGGAGTGGAACAGGTCATGACTTGGCATCGGCACCAATCGAGTCAGAACTGAGAGTGGCGCACGGGAACCAGTATCTGCGCTTGCCATCCCTGTGCCCATCGTCGATCATAGCAAGCCCTTCCTGTTTGTGTAATAGAGATCAGAGTTGCATATAGATGCCAAAGACGTTCATAACAAGTGTCAATAGAGATGCACATAAGAAAAGTACTTTATTTATACATGGCAGCTCAAAAAGAAGGTAATCCTGCAATGGCTTAAGCGTGGATTCAACAGAGAGAATTCTAATCACCAATACATAACTTGCATCAAAGGAAGTCAGTTTTCTTTTCTTTGGGCACGGAAATGAAGCACAAAGGTGGCCTAAAGAGTGGAAATGCAGGAGCAGGATTTACCTTGAGCAAAGTTTCAAGGACATCGATGGCACGGCCAGTTGACCACGAGAACTTTCTCTTGACTTGTTCTACTGTGACAAAACCTTCAGCCTGCATGTGAATGATGTTATAACTGGGCAGGTATGGTCATATTGTGGCAAGGTGACAGATTGAGCAAGGCAGCAATTTGAAAGCTTTGGCTTAACATAGTTTTGTGCTATGTCTCTATGTTGACTGAAATAAGCATGATAAAACAAGTGTTTATGTGGAATATATAGGGCTTTACGACTTCCAACCAAAGGTTATACACCATCCACATACTTGTTCGGTGCAAGCATGATAAGGTTATGACAGCATCCACATACTTGTTAAGTGTACTGTAGTATTATACACTATTAAAAGCTGTGATTACAAACCTGAGCTAGCTCAAGTATCCCATTGTGATCTTTATTCAGTTCTGTAGGAACAGAACGTACAAGCTTTTTCTTCCCAACAGAAATTACTTCAAAACCACTACCAAGGACCTGAGAGTTCACAAGCGAAGGATCAGAAGAATTAACAGATCTGTCCAAGAATTAATCGATTCGAGTGCGATCTTGTAAAACTGGCATGAATGCAATTATAAGATTCCAAAAAAATATGTAGCTGTAGAATTCCTTAAAATACTTGCCTTCAGCTTACTTATTGCACGCAAACAATCATCTGATGTTAAGGATCCAAGATCAGCTTTCCTCTTCTGACACAGGAGTTTACGGAGATCTAGCAAGTCAATCAAGCCACCGTTGGTCGCTCTGGTTGCTATGCATATGTCAACAATCTGAACTCCTGGTGCAATAGACACAGATGCTAAGCAGAACATAAATGGTCCAATAATAAAAGAAAGAAACTTCCAGGATCAAAATAAATAAGATAGCTTAAATTAAGTTACCAACCCAATTCATAGTAGAAGTCACCAATCCCTAGAAGTTCTGCCCAAGCTCCTTTATTCGAAGCCAGAGGGTCTACTCCAACTTTTGCACACATCTCATGGAACTGTTGTCTAAATAGTGGATTTTTACGGATATCATTCTGCACTAGCACACCACATACACAAAGTTACCTAAGAGTTGGAATATGCTGTGCCATTTGAGCTCTATTGTGAACACCTAGAACATCAGTATAATATTGCAAATGTCACCCCTGCTGGAACTAGATGCCATGGGACAAGTGAAATGTATCACAAGAAATAATGATCAATTGGCACCTTGGTAACTCCAAAACCTTTTTCTGTTACATTTTCCATCTTTAACTGTTGAGTGTAGGCGTGTGTATTTCAGCCCAATAGGGCCCATTCCACCAATGTATATGTATAGTAGATGAGAAAGGAAATGAAGTGAAGCTTCTAGAGGAAAAATCACAAAACTACATGGTATCAGAGCTGGGTCACCGGCGACCTCGCCGACGCGAACCCTAGTCGGCGGCGGCGCTGTGACCAGAGGGGTTCTGCGGCGACGTCGACGGCTGAGGCGGAGCGGCGACGTCGGACAGCGGAGGCGGAGCGGCAGTGTTGACGGCGGAGGCGGCGACGGCTGCTGCAGAGGTTCTCGACGCGAGCAGCGTGAAGGAGGAGCAGGGCGCACGCTCGCTGGTTGAGCTGCGCAAGGATTTGGTGCAGCACAAGCTGTAGGGAGCACAGCGGCTGAGAGACGCGCAGCTGTTGGCTGTAGGATCAACAGAGAAGGATTTGGTGCTATTGGCTATTGTTGTCCGTTCCAGTGGTGGTGACTTTGGTGGTGCTGTTGCTGGTGCTGCTGCTACTTGAGAAGGTGAGGATTTGGAGGTGAAGCGGAAGCTTGGTTTGCTGTTGCTGTTGTTCTGATTTGGGGAAGAAACTGAGTACGAGAGCTTGGCTTGCTGCTGCTGTTGTGCTGATTTGGGGGAAACTGAAAAGTAGTGCTGCTGGGAGGAAGTAGTGCTACTGCTGCTGTTCTGTTTTTGGTGAGAAACTGAGGAGTAGTGTTGTTACTCCTATTAATTGATTTGGCTAGTATCCTAGAAGATTTGGTTGATCTGCCATGGGGGAAATTCAAGGAATTGAGCAAATACTTGAGAAATTGGCTGAAGAAGTTGAAGAAATAAGGGGAAGAATTCAGAAAGTGAAGGAGAAAACAACAGTGCTTGGCAACTTTGTTAATCTCGCACATCCTATGCAGGTACCTAACTCAACTTGGATATTAGACTCCGGAGCATCTAGACATGTTACAGGAATGTCGAGTGAGTTTACATCATATACTCCATTTCAGTCATCATTTAAAGAAACAATTCAAACTGCCGACGGAACTTTACGACATGTGAGGGGAGTGGGAACAGTCAAATGTACTCCATCAATTACATTGTCGTCAGTTTTATATGCTCCCTCTTTTCCTGTTAACCTAGTATCCGTAAGCTCGTTGGTTGATCATATGGATTGTCGAATTACTATTGACCGAGAGAATTGTCTAATTGAGGAGAGAAGAACTGGAAGAAAGCTTGGAACCGGCGTTAGGCATAATGGGTTGTGGTATCTAGATAGAAGAGGGACGGACAAAGCACTATGTAGTGCTTTGTTAGCTAGCACAAGTGAAGAGGAGGCTAAATTGATTCTAAAACATTGTCAATTGGGACATATGTCCTTTGATACTATGTCTAAGGTATTTCCTGATGAGATGAGTAAGGTGGACAAAATCAAATTAATGTGTGATGCATGCGAGTATGGAAAACATACACGAACCACATACATAAGCAGAGGACTTCGAAGCATTTTGCCATTTGTGTTGGTTCACTCTGATGTATGGACTTCTCCTATTGCTTCGGTAAGTGGAGCAAAGTACTTTGTCACCTTTATTGATTGCCACTCACGAATGACTTGGATATATCTCATGAGACACAAGAGTGAAGTATTGAAATGTTTCAAGAATTTCTATGCTTGGGTTAGGAATCAATTAAACACTTGTGTTAAAGTTATTAGGAGCGATAATGGGGGAGAATATGTGAATGATGAATTTAGGAGTTTTCTCTCAGCAGAAGGAATAGTACATCAAACTTCTTGTGCTGACACACCTCCACAGAACGGAGTAGCTGAGAGGAAAAATCAACATATTCTGGAGGTAACTCGTTCACTCATGTATACGATGAATGTACCAAAGTTTCTATGGAGTGAGGCAGTCATGACAGCAACATATCTCATCAATCGCATGCCATCACGAATACTTGGGATGAAGACTCCATATGAAATGGTGTTTGGGAAGAATGAATTCATTGTTCCTCCAAAAGTGTTTGGGTGTACTTGTTTTGTCAGAGATCATAGACCATCCGTTGGAAAATTGGATCCTCGAGCCGTCAAGTGTATTTTTATAGGTTACTCTTCTGGGCAAAAGGGATATAAATGTTGGAGTCCATCTGAGCGGCGAACTTTTGTTAGTATGGATGTTACTTTTAGAGAGTCTGTTCCGTTCTATGGAGAAAGAACAGATTTGAGTTCCTTGTTTGTTGATCTTGACAATCCAATTATTGATGAGGATGGACAAGAGGGGGAGAATGGCTCATCAGGTACTGAAGAAGACACACAATCAAGAAGCATGAAATTTGTGGTTGGCTCAATCCCATATCCTGTTAGTGAACCCATTCATGAGCAAAATTGGAGAAGGCCACGTGAAGAAGAAAATCTACAAGTTTATACTAGGAGGAAAACAAGGTCTTTGGAGGCGCAAACAATGGGGCAACATGAGTCTCCTATGGATGGGATGGAGCAGCAACAATCTTCAATTGTTGCTGAAGTAGGTGATAAACCATCTGATCAGTGTGATACTATACAGATTTCATCGGATACGGAAGGAGAGGAGTTTGAAACAGGGGGAGAAGAAACTAATCTTCCTATTGCTATAAGAAAAGGGGTAAGAAGCAATGCAGGTAAACCTCCACAAAGGTATGGTTTTGAAGCTCAAGGTGTGAATGATGATGAGAATAACATAGCCAATTATGTCTCTTATGCTTCTTTGTCATCCACATATAAGGCCTTTGTGACATCACTAAATTCAGTGGAAATTCCAAATGATTGGAGGGAAGCAAAGCAAGACCCAAGGTGGCATCAAGCTATGCTAGAGGAGCTAGAGGCTCTTGAAAAGAACAAAACATGGGACCTTGTACCATTCCCTAAAGGGAAGAAAGTGGTTAACTGTAAATGGGTTTATACAGTAAAGCAAAATCCTGATGGAAATGTGGAAAGATACAAGGCAAGGCTTGTGGCTAAGGGATATAGTCAAACATATGGAATTGATTATGATGAAACTTTTGCACCAGTAGCAAAGATGAGCATGGTAAGAACTCTTATCTCTTGTGCAGCTAATTTTGATTGGCCATTGCATCAGTTAGATGTCAAGAATGCATTCTTACATGGAGATCTTCAAGAGGAGGTGTATATGGAAATTCCACCTGGATTTGCTACCTCACAAACTGAAGGTAAAGTGTTGAGACTAAAAAAATCTTTATATGGCCTTAAACAATCACCAAGAGCATGGTTTGATCGCTTTAGACGTGCAATGTGTGGTATGGGTTATAAACAGTGCAATGGAGACCACACAGTTTTCTATCGCCATAATAGAGGTCTTAAAACTATTCTTGTTGTGTATGTTGATGACATGATTATCACTGGAGATGATTGCTTGGAGATATCTAGGTTGAAACAAAATCTAAGCAAGGAGTTTGAGGTCAAGGATCTGGGCCAATTAAAATATTTTTTGGGTATTGAAATTGCAAGATCTCCTAGAGGAATAGTTCTTTCACAGCGAAAGTATGTATTGGATCTGCTCAGTGATACAGGTATGCTTGGATGTCGGCCAGCTTCTACACCAATTGAACAAAATCATAAGTTATGTGCTGAATCTGGAGATCCAGTTAATAAAGAGAGATATCAAAGACTTGTGGGAAGGTTGATATATTTGTGTCACACAAGACCTGATATAACTTATGCTGTGAGTGTGGTGAGCCGATACATGCATGATCCTAGAAGTGGTCACATGGATGTTGTGTATAGAATTTTGAGATATTTGAAGGCAAGCCCAGGTAAAGGCATATGGTTCAAGAAGAATGGACACCTAGATGTGGAGGGATATTGTGATGCAGATTGGGGCAGTTGTCTTGATGATAGGAGGTCAACATCAGGCTACTGTGTATTTATTGGTGGCAATTTGGTATCTTGGAGGAGCAAGAAACAATCAGTTGTATCTCGCTCGACTGCTGAGGCGGAATACAGGTCAATGTCGATGAGCTTGAGTGAATTGTTATGGTTGAAAAATCTTTTGGCTGAATTGAAGCTGTCGACAAGCACTTCCATGAAGTTGTGGTGTGACAACAAATCAGCCATAAATATTGCTAACAATCCAGTCCAGCATGATCGAACGAAGCATGTGGAAATAGATCGCTTCTTTATTAAAGAGAGAATGGATGAGGGAACCTTAAACTTAGGCTTTGTAAACTCTGGTGAACAAGTAGCTGACAGTTTAACGAAGGCATTAGGTGCTAGAGAGTGCACTTCTTCGTGTAGCAAGATGGGCATGATAGATATTTATCGCCCATCTTGAGGGGGAGTGTTGAGTGTAGGTGTGTGTATTTCAGCCCAATAGGGCCTATTCCACCAATGTATATGTATAGTAGATGAGAAAGGAAATGAAGTGAAGCTTCTAGAGGAAAAATCACAAAACTACATTAACCACCATTCCTCAGTTTTGGTATATCTTGAGCACTTGACCATGGACTCGTATGCTATTTAGGTTCCCTATTTCCCAGTTCGATAGGCAACTTTAATCAAGTGAGTAGCAGTAACTTCGTTGTTTGCATGTTTGTTAGAACATTCATTTCATTTGCGCAGGGCAGTTGAAAAAAAAAGTAAGAATTCAGTCAGTCGAAAAAAGATGCGAGAACAACTGATATATTCTAATCCCCAAGATTAAGAAGATCATGAAAGCATGCTATGTGTTGTAGCAGGGTGCAAACACCTTTTCCTCCAATTCGGTCAAAACACTACGAGGTTTTGCAAGACCTAAGTATCCAGA